TGCTGCACCCCATAACACGGCGCCCTCCCTCCACAGCATCCGCCTGGCTCGCTACCCCTGGAGCGTCAGATGGGCTGTCTCCACACGGTTCACGTTGGCTGGGCTGCGAGAGGCCATCGCACGTGACCTAGAAGGCTGGGGGGGGGGCGAAAGGGGGCAGGTGACATTCGGGGGATCTCGAGGTCTCCAGCTGCGACGTGGAGGAGGTGGCTCTGTGATCCTAGTGGACTGGGAGTTGTTCCCTCCTTCATTTTAGGACTTGTGCCTTCCTTGGGCGCCTTAGCATCTGACACCCCTGTCCCCCTCCTGCCCGGTTTGCAGGTGACGTCTCCAGCATCTCTGGGTCCGATTCTGATTACTCCGATTCCGGCAGCGAGTCCGATCTGCTCTCTCCCCGAGGCCACGGCGACCCGGGGAGTGACCAGCAGAGCCATCGCCCAGGCACCCGCTCGGCTAAGGTCCTGTTCCACAACTCCCAGGGCCAGCTGCTCTCTGCCTACCGCTGTGTGCTGGGTAGTAAGAAGGCAAGTGACGGCCCGGCAGTGCTGGGCCCATCCCCAGTGACCTGCCAGAGGTCTGGGATAGCCGTCGGGCCGGCAAGCGGGGTTTGGCTGGGACCCCGACCCCTCCTTGCCCTGTGATCCCGCGGGCAGCTGGACGCGTGTGCAGGGGAGCCGGGCGCCAGCTCTGTCGAGATCTGGTCTGGGTTTAGCTGCTTGCCAGAGGATCCTTGCCCAGGTGCGGGGGGTGGGGCCCAGGCCCAGCTCATCCGGATGGAACCAAGGCTTTACTTGGTGCCTGATGAGCCCTGTTCAGATGGGAGCTGCTGCCTGTCTGGCCTCAGCCGCAAGGGGCAACCCCTGCTCCCTGCCCAAGCCCTGCCCCGTGGGTCAGCCCCCAGACTGCCCCTTCCCCCACTGCCTGCAGAGCCCCTGCTAATGGCTCCCTTGCTAATGGGTCATCGGCTCCAACAGGGGAGGCAGCTGATGGCCAGGGAGGGTGTGTGCCACCAGGCTGCTAACAGGAGGGTTTCCTTGTGCCAGGGCGGTGGTGAGCAGCAGGCAGAGCTGGTGGCATCTCTGCAGAGCCTGGGCGCAGGCACTTGTTGGGTTATCCTGATGATAGGCGGTGGACACTTTGCAGGAGCCGTTTTCAGGGGGTGAGTGTCCCAGGCTGGCCCTGGGGCTGGGGCAGGGTCTGCTGCTCCAGCGGGCAGAGTCCTATGCGGGCCTTGGCGTGGGAAGGAGTGCTCTGTGGCTTGGGGATGTCTGCCCCTGGGGATGTGGTCAATGGGCCCTTGCCCCCCGTCTGCTTGTGGGGGCTGGCCCAGAAGGCGCCTCTCCTCTCCCCAGGGACACGTGGCACTGCCACGGCCTT